CCAGTTCCCAGCAGCCATGGCCCGTAGATTTTTTTTTCTTTTCTTTCTTTTTCTCTCTCTTTTTCTTTTTCTTTCTTTCTTTCCTTTTTCTTTTCTTTCCTCTCTTCTTCTTCTTCTTCCTTCCTTCCTTCCCCCTCCCTCTTCCCTCGCAGTACCACACGAACCAGCAGCCAGCCTAACCAATTTTTTTTTCTTTTTCTCTTCCCCTCTTCTCCCTCTCTGCTCCCCTCTCCCCCTCTACTCCCCTTCACCATCCCCCCTCCCTCCCGAAGCAGAGAACCAGCAGCCATGGCAGAATACAAATTTTTTTTTTTTTTTTGCTTTTTCTCTCCCCCTCTCCTCCATCTCCCTCTCCCATTCTCCTCCCCTCCCCTTCCCCCTCCCCTTTTGCCCAATCCGATTGTTCGACCAGATCGCATCTGCGATCTGGTACCGTGCAACCAGAGAGGAAGCTGGAGGGTGGCCAGGGAGGGGAGGGGAGGGGAGAGGGAGAGGGAGAGGGAGAAGGAAAAAAAAAAAAGGTAGGCCGGCGCCGGAAACAGTGGCAGAGGTGGTGGTGACCGGCGGGGGAAGGATGGCCGGCGATATAGATGTGGTGGATAGGAGTGGGGAAGAAAGAAGAAGAAAAGAGGAAGTTTTTTGTGCATTAGAATTTTGAAGTGTGTAGATTAAAAAATTTGATAAGTTTTTTTGGGTTCCTGTAGCTAAAGTTGTTAAAAAACTAGTAGCTAAAAAACTTGGCCTAAAAACTCAGTTCCAAACAGGCCCATAGTGGTGTCTGATATGAGGTTTAACTTCTCATCTCTTTTCTTGCTTGAGAAGTAGTGCATTTCTCTGTCGTCCTCTGTCTGCTTTCTAAGTAGGCGCTGCATGAAACTGATAGCTATAAATGACTTGCCACATGACAATCTATGCAGTCTCCTAAATGTTTACTCATATGGAACGACTGTGCAGGAAGTTAGTTCAATGCTGCTGGAGAAGCTTATTGCTGCAGGAATTGGAGATCGACCGGTTGTATTTGTGACTCATAGGTCTGTTTGGCTAGACACTAACTTTCTTCTTTTTCTTTTATCATTTTTTTGATATTTCTGATTAGAGATTTATTTGGTGGTACACATCTGATAATTCTTTTCAAGTGATTTTACAAAAAAAAAAACTTTTGGCCAGAAATGTCAATATTACAATGACATGTCATCAGAGTAATAAGATTCAGGCCCAAATATTTGAAATCTAAGGCTTTACTAGGTTCTTTAGTGCATTTAATTTGCTTAATGCTCTGTTACAGAGTTCGTTGTTGATTATAAAGCCTTGGCATTTGTAAAAGTTTTTGTTAGTCTTTTACTTGTTTTTTGAATTCTTGGTTAAGAAATTGTGTACATTTATTAGAATAAGGAGGCAAAAATTGCAGAACTTCAAGCATGTTGAGTTTAGGTGGGTAAATCTATACCTCACATATATAGAAATCAACCATAAATTTGCATCCTTGATCTGAACAATTTTTCCCTTGAATTTCTTTAATTGACTCCTGAAAGTTGTTTTGCATGTTAAACTACATTGATAGTTAATGTGCATAAAGTGATGACTGGCAGAGCTCCCATAATGATTAGTAGAGCTTTTATGAATAATATTGAGTATCAATATGAATAAAATAAAAAAGAGTATCAACATGAATAAAGAGATGTTCAATTAACAATTTAACTTTGGAATATACCTATGTGGAGATGGTCGACTTTTTTGCACCCTTTTCTACTTCCAATATCACCTCTTGAGGCAAGTCCATAAGAGAGCACCAAGTAGTTCTTGTGGACTTTGTTTCTGGCACTTACCATATGTTGATGCCTTTATTCCAATGGCATTTTGCAGCTTGGGTGGCCTTGTTGTCAAGCAAATGTTGTATCAAGCAGAAGCAGAAAAGAGGGACAACTTTGTTAAGAACACCATTGGACTTGTATGTTCTATCCTTCAAATGAAAGTCTACTTGTGTCCTGTAATTTTTCCTTCCATGATGTCTCTGATTATATTCATTTTGTTTGAGCTCAGGTTTTCTATAGTTGTCCACATTTTGGCAGCAAACTTGCAGACATGCCTTGGCGTATGGGTCTTGTGTTTCGGCCTGCACCAACTGTTAGTACCTGTTTGACATTTGTGTTTCTTGCATTTAATATCATACATTTTCTCCCTTTTTTAGTGTTTCCTGTTTTCAATATGATAAGATATCTGGCATTTAGATATAAAAGCTGCTTGTAACTTCCATGGCCAGATCGGAGAGTTAAGAAGTGGATCTCCAAGACTAGTCGAGCTTAATAATTTCATTGGTGACCTTCATGAGAAAGGCATGCTTGAAGTCCTTAGCTTTTCTGAGGTAATGTCTCTATATTGGACATTTTCTCTCCAACACTTCTGAATTTTTGCATACTTTGACAGCTCAGGTTGTAACTTTGATTGGTTAATGATTGGCTTACAGACCAAAGTTACCCCGATCGTTGAAGGGTACGGAGGTTGGGCTTTCCGAATGGAAATTGTACCTATTGAATCAGCTTATCCTGGATTTGGTCACCTTGTTGTAAGTAAAAGCTACTTGGCTACTGCATTTTGATAAAATGATACTACTTGTGGACTGGCGGACCTTATGTTTTTTAATTTTTTTGTCATACTGTTTTAATTTTCTAGTGATAAAAGGTATAAAATCTGATCTCAGCCTTTGTTAACTTTGCCGACTTTCAATGTTTAGTTGCTTCATAGGAATATGTAAAGGATATTTGAAGCCTATTATCCACCAGGTGATTGCTAACCGGTTAAAATTTTAATTAGTCAAATTGCATTTGTAAGTCATCCAAACATGATATTTTCTCTGTTCTGTTCTAACATTATTGCACAAACCTATTGTCCAACAACAGTTGCTGGATTCTTGGATGGTGAACTTTTGATTTTAGTACATACAACATAGAATTTCTTTGTTGAATACAAGATGCAAGAATTTTGCTTATGAGCATATGAATTTAAAAAGTTTTCTTTTGGCAATTAACATTGCGTTAGAGTTCCTGACATGTCACGTTTCATATGTTGATGCACGGGATATAGGAATTGTGGGTTGGTTTAGAATTTGCTTGGGCATGACCACAAATTTCATAGTATTCTTTGGTTTCGAATATTACTGTAGTGGAAGCTGCAACGCACTGTTTTAAATGGGTGGTATTTATTTGGTTTTGTAGCCTGTTACTCTGTTTATTTTTTTAGTTTTGGGGTTTTGCTTTGAGAGTGTAAGAAATATTGGTTTAAACCTGCATCACCATGTTAATGTTACCTCATCCTTTCTTTGCTTTTTCAACTTGAATGCAGGTTTTAGACTCCACAGACCATATAAATTCTTGCAAGCCACTCTCCCGCACGGATCCTTCCTACAAAGAAACCTTAGACTTCTTGCACAAGATGAAGGCTCGTCTACATAAATAGATAGAGTGCGTGTATACTTAGAATTAGGCATAATTTTTTGCAGTGAAGACAACATTGCTCTGAACCTGTTTGAGGCTTCTGAGAGTATTACTTTACAACTAACTCCAGAGGCAGGGCTTTCAAGCCTGCAAATTTTCAGATAGACCATTACAAGACTGGAATTCTCGGGTTGGCAATGAGACCTACTTCAGGAGTCTCTACACCACACTCTACAACTCCTTGGAGACAATTTTCAAGCTTAATCTGCTTTACCAGGAGTTCGAATCGAGTTGCATAGAAGAGTAGCTTTAGTTGTACAGTAATTATCTCCAATATTGTTTCGTGATTTCGCCTGTACAATCCTGAGTTTACTAACTGTATCATCGATGTAGACCTACACTAGCGGTTAGATAAGACATTCCCTTGCACTGGCGGATCTCCCATATTTTAGGCATAGAGAGTCCCTTTGTGGGACGATGATGATTCATTGGTTTACATGTAGAGTATTCTGATATTCTGTACTAATACTTTTCTCAAAGTAACAAATAAGAAGCCCTTCTTTGTATCATGTTAATAAGTTGGGTATCATCTAATTCTAACTTATATCCATTGTATTTTTCTTAGATTTGGGTTTAAATTTTCAAATTCAAACCCCAGTTAGATCTTGACCTATGAAAGAATTAGGGGTTTGGATAGGGTTTAATTTTGTTAATCTCATATCCTATCTCATCCAAACCTATATTTATATGTGAGAAAAAAATTAAAGGATGTTTAAATACACTGAAATTTTAATGTTAAATATTTGAGATTTAGACTGTCAAAAGGGTTGCTAGGAAGCTCTTTAATTTCAGGTCATGATTTTTTGCGTGCAACATTTTTTGAATATTGATTGTATTATTTTGAAAATGGTAATTCGATTTTCTTTCTATGATTGTTGAATTTTATATATTTTTTTAATGTAACTTTTAAAATTATTATGATTGCCCATTGGATACCAAACCTATTAGTTCGGATCCAATTTTTCTTTTCAAAACACATGAGGTTTTGATTTAATGTAATTTTAAATATTATTATGGATATCCATTGGATACCAAACTTATTAGAGTTAGGGTCTAAATTTTCTTTTCAAAACACGAGGTTTTGATTCCAAGTCAAGTCTGTGCATTAATAATTTTGAGTAGATTTAGGTTAGGGTAAAGCAATTAATTCAAATTCAAACTCTATCCATTTCCAAAATTCCAAAATTCATATTTCAGCAAATGCTTGCATCAAATAAATCCAATCCAAATCCAAATTACATCTCACTCACATCCCTAGATGCAGATTTCAGGAAATGCCTTCGATGATTTTCATCTAATGCAGTTTGCTTATATATATATCAGAAAAAACTAGTTATAATCTCAAAAAAGAATTCGACAATTTGATCCTATTGGGACTTCAACGATAACGAGATAAACGGATAAAGGAAAAGAATAAAAATAAACCAAAACTTGAAGACTAAATCGAAATTCCATGAAAATTGGGTACTCGCAATAGAATTATATTAAGGCCGAGCATTTTACAGCTCCTCCTAGACTGGCGTCAAGAACCGTTCCCTGCAAAGGAACAGCCATGAATGCAGCAACAATGGCCTACTTCAAGCTATCAATTTTGCCGCTCCAAGAAAATTCAAGACTCCTATTTGCGAACAAATTCTCAAATTTTCCAACTGCAGAGAAAAGAAATTCGACAAATAGTAACAAAACCAAGCGGCCCACTAATTTTTACTGTTCACACTCCAATACGATTGCTGTAGTATCACCGTCGGAAACTGAAGAAGATGGAAGTGATGATAATGAAGAAGGTGGGCAGATGTCGTCGCCGGCTATGATGGGAAGCGCGCCTCCGGTTAGGCGGAGGAGGAGGAGGTACAGGAAACTATGCCCTGGCGAGAATAAAGGGATAACTGAAGAAATGAGGTTCGTTGCAATGAAGTTAAGAAATAGCGGTAAACCCAAAAAGATTAAAAAGGGAAGAGGAAATGCTGAGAGCATTAAAGAAGTGGAAACTGGGAATTCTGGGGAAGACCAAAAGGATGTCTCAATTTCAGAGGAAAAAGTGGAAAAGGATGATGATGGTAGCAATGCAAATGAAGATATATGGCAGCCTTGTCTGGAAGGTTTTTTGAAGTACCTTGTGGATAGCAAGCTTGTTTTTAGTACTATTGAGCGGATTGTTGACGAGTCCAGTGATGTTTCTTGTAAGTTATCCTTGTTTTCTTTTGGCTGCTGTTCTGCTTCTTCTATTTTGATCTTTGAGGTTTTCTTTTTTCCCTTTCAGCGGTTAAGTAGTTTTGATGTTCATTAATGTTCTATCCTGAAAATTTTTTCTTTTTTTTTTTGGTTACTACTAATTTTCTTAATTGGCTTTTAGGTATGAATTCAATCTTTGTAGGTCCATTGGGGTAATGCAGTGGAGGGTTGATTGTAGTTGGGGTTTAAAATTTAAATGTTTTGTGCATCCGAGTATAATGCATTGGAACTTAGTAGGTTATAAAGGTTTTGATCTTGATGTAACAGGCGACTTTTATAAATTTGAACTTGTTACAGTCCTGAATGCCTACCTGGCTTTCATATCCTTTGGTTACTGTAATCATAAAAAGGGGATAGTTTGAAGTCTATCTACTGATAAATACAATATCCAATGGCTAATTTGTTTTCTTTATTGGTTACTCTTTTGGGTTATATTTCAAAAAATTTGGCGTAATTCTCTGATGTTTTCTGGAGTAGATGTCTACTTCAGGAAAACAGGATTGGAGCGATCAGAATGTATTGGAAAAGATCTAGAATGGTTCAGCCGAAAGGGTAATGCCATCCCAGCACCCAGCAATCCAGGAGTCACTTATGTCCAATATCTGAAGGAACTTGCTGAGACGAGTCCCCCTTTGTTTCTTTCCCACTTTTACAACATATACTTCTCGCATATAGCTGGAGGGCAAGTTATAGCCAAAAAGGTGTGCTAATGCTGCTTTGTTCAGTTCAGTCAGTATTTTGTTTCCTTGGGGAATCTGCACCAGAAGTGAGATATCTGTATATGATTTTCAGTTATCTGACTCAAATGACTTTGCATTTTGCGGAATCTCTTGGTTGATGGGAGGGAATATTCAAATGAATTGGTTTTGGCATGTAATAGGGGGCATAACCTACCATACAAGATATGATTTTTCCTTTGATAAGTGAAATTGTACGCCACAAAAATAGGACAAGATGGAGCTTTTGATAGTAGAGAAAGATATTAGAAGACAGTAAGACATCTTCTTAAGATCTATGGAGTATCTTGTCCTGAGTTGAGTTCTCAGCTGAATGGAGTTCTAGTTATGTCTTGCATACCTAAGTAGTCTTTGAAGTGAAAGCCATCATATGATTAGGCATTTGGGTGAAGGAAAGATCCGGAATTGAACTATTGAAGAATGATGAACATTAATAAGAGCTTTATTGGTTTATAGTTTTGGCCAATGCAATAGTAACTGCGTACTTATGTCATGATCGGAGATATCCCTATCATCACATGGTGTGAGATAAAAATTAAGATGTGAAAGCGCGTTTATCTCTATAAGAACGGTGCATTCCGAGGTGGACAAACAAATTGGTTAGTCCAAATCAAACCATTGCATATAAAAATGATTATTAGATTGATCTCAGTAGGTATTCGTTTGCAGGGAAGAACTCTTAGCCAATTTTGGTCGAATATCATATCCTGAAATTGGATTTGTAAGAGAATTTGGTTCTTTATTTTGTAACTTATTTGCTCCCTTTTATCTTGCCTTTTGATTTAATCATGCTATTGTTATTTCCGTTTCTATTATCTTGATGAATGGCTTGATCCCTGCTTGGAGATGGTTCCACATTTGAACCAAATGGTGGTGCTTAACTTCCAAAATTGTTCATTTAATTGAGATTCTGTTTTTGAGGTTTAGCACATAGCATACCTGTAGTTTCTTAGACATGCTTAGTTGCCGACAGGTCTCAGAGAAGTTGTTGGAAGGAAGGAAGCTGGAGTTCTATGCATGGGAAGGGGAAGAACAAGAGTTGCTAAAAGGTGTGAGAGAGAAGCTCAACATGCTTGGAGAGGTATAGATGCCTGAGATGATTTCCTCCCTGAACTTTCTTCAATACTTTCTTGAGCCATTTGCTGATAGTTTGTTTACCTATCACAGCACTGGTCTAGAGACGAGAAAAATAGATGCCTAAGAGAAGCAACGAAGGCATTCCGGTACCTTGGTCAGATAGTAAGGTTGATAATTTTGTAAAGAAAGCAGATTTGAATCCAAGATTGTATATTGTTCTCTTGTAGTAAGCCTATGGCAGAGCCTTTCAAGTTAAAGATGAAGCTCATCACTTGATTGTGGTAATCAATTCATTTGACGTAGGTAGCTCTTTTGCTTGCGAGTTGCGGCATCCCTTCTTCACTTCTTCCAATGCGAAGGATGTTTCACCGGAGTTGAAAACATCATCGAATGCTAATACATGAGGCAGATTGAATTTTGTTCATTTTTTTTCATCGTTTCCTTTTCCTTTTTGCTTGCGCTGGTTCATCTATTCATTTGTTTCTGTTTCTTAATCTTTCTTTCTTTATTTCTATGGGCATAAAATCTAGAAAATTTTCATCTTTGGTATCTTTATCTTTATCTTTTTGTTTCTTTCTTTTTTTTAAGTAATCCTTTCTTCTCTCTTTTTTTTTTTTTTAACATATCAATCGTGTAGTTATACATGAAGGTTTTTTTTGTTATAAATTAGGGGCTAATTGCTTAGAATATGGACGAAAAAAAAGATTAATCGGACATCCATGGCTCTGACAGACCCGTGGTACAAATCTATGAGCACAGCCCGGCACCCAAAATTCCAGTCAAACCTTCTGACACCGCTGACAGCGGGGCAGCGGAATAAACTTTTTTTTTTTAATAAGGGCAAAAAACTTGGGCGGCCATTAAACTTTTCCCAGGATCATGTTTTGGCCATCGAACTATTTTTTGTCAATAATTGGCCACTAAACAACTTAATCAGGCCACCCGTGACCATTTCGTCGGTAATAGCTCTTAATTTCTGAAATTAGCATTACACGTGGCAAACCACAGGGGCAATTTTGTCCGTTAATCCACTGACCGTTCACTTACATTAATACATCAACTGAAAAGAAAAAAAAGAGCGGTAGAAACAAGCCAACTAAACAAACTGAAGTGTCTGGTCTTGTGGAGGAAAAAATAGGGACTCAATTTCCAGCCCTAAATTCTGTGTCAGAAATCGAAGAAGCCAAGAATGTCGAGACGCTCTCCTAAACCCATACCTAGATGCTCCTGCGGATTAACAGCAATGGTGAAGACCTCATGGACAAATTGGAACCCAGCAAGAAGATTTGTGGTCTGCACTTTAGGAGAGGTAAGATCTTAGAGAGGTAAGATGTTAGATTTGTAATGGAAATATTATAACAAGAGGATTTAGTCTTGGAAAATGTAAATTGCAGGATGAGGGATGTGGTTTTTGGGAATGGTATGATCCAACAATGTGCGAAAGATCAACTCAAGTGATTCCTGGTTTGCTGCGAAGAATGAATAGAATGGAAAGTAATATGGAGGAATTAGAAACTTCAGCAAGAAGATGGGAAAATAAAGCTCAAAAATTGGAACTTAAAGTTGCAAAATTGGAGGGTGAAGTGAAAAAGCACAAGACCAGAGAGCACTATCTCAAAAGAGCTCTTCTCGGTACATGGGTTTTTATATTGTTGTATTGTTTTTGCTGCTATCTGAAGACTGTTATTAAGAGTGACCATATGTTGGCCATCAAGGGATAGTTAATGTTGTTTAGTGATTGTGAAGAAATGGAAGTAGTAAGGTTGAGTGGATACAGCTTTTGGTGGTAGTGTCCGTAGCAATAGCAGACCAAAGATTCCCATGTTGTATTTTATAGTGAATTTTTCATTGGTTTGTTTTCTTATGTAATGGAATCCTTGCTGTAATTGTGTTACTTTTTACTGAATGAATGGATGCAAGTTTTTTGTCGTTTCTTATGAATTGCTGTAATTGTAGTTTCTTATGAATGTGGCATTATAACACAGTAAATTAAGACAAAAGGAGTATTTCCATTGGATAAAACTAACTACAAAAGTTTCCAATTTGCAGAAGTACACAGCTTTCTGTTGAATATGCAAAAAGATAGTGGATGAAAAACAAAAGGCATCCACCATAACAAAACAAAAGCCATCCACTATCAACATGAAGTGGATCCTGCAGTTAAACTTTAATGCATCTATTTTAACAGCCCACTGAACTTAAATAAACTATTATAAGTCAAAAGACTTATGTACATATCAGTCACCATCATCAACATCTCAGATCACATCTAAAACTGTATCCAATTCCATCTAACTTGCACCTGCACCTCTGCCTCTTGTAGATCTAGATCTAGATCTACCAGCATTTGCACCTCTTCTACCCCTCCACCTACCAACCTTGAAGGGTGGTTCCTTTCCCAAGTAGGCATAGTTAGCATTAATCATCCCTTTGTCAGCATCAGTCAAGGGCCGTTTACCATTTCTGTTGAATTTCCTGCCAGATCTAGAACTTGTAGCTGGATCTGGTTGCTGAACTACTGGTATTGGCTGTTGAAGTGGTGGAGTTGGGTGTTGGGACATTAGATCTGATTGCTGAGTTGCAGATGCGATTGGTTGGCTTGGTTGGCTAGCTGATGGAGTTTCCTGTTGCTGTTGCCCTTGGGTCTCTATACCTTGTGACTGAACTACTTTTGCTTGCTGTTTTCTTCTTGAAACCTTGTACAAATGGAAGTTGATTAGAGACTATATGTATGTATACTATATGACATTTGAAATACATTGAACTGTATGTATACTCACATGTTTTTTCTTCTTTGGCTGGCCAGATTGTTGGTGCTCAGTCACCTCTTTGCATGTTGCAGCATTGTGCCCTGTTTTACCACATTTTCTGCAATGCATAGTGACATTTTTTCTAAGTTTTCTTCCATGGTTCTTCCCTTCTGTCTCATCTCTTCTCCTTGCCTTTTTTGGCCTCCCAGGCTGGACAGTGGGAATTGGAGGATCAAGTTGAAGCATGCTGGACTCAGGCCACAGTACTTGGCTGCTGATGGGTTGCAAGACATTATTATAAATCTGTAAAAATAAGCTCTTGTAGTAACATTCCACAATCATTTCATGTGGATCATCCTCAGTTTGCTTAATTGCTGCAATGGCATGGGTACAAGGTAAACCAGATAATTCCCAGATTCGACAAGTGCAACTCTTTTTTCTCAAATTCACAGCAAACTGGGAATTTCTTGGGCCCTTTACCTGATAACCATCAATCCCATTGAACTGTGGGAACCACTGGAAAGACTCTTCAATTCTGTCCTCAATAATTTTTCTAATCAAAGGACCAGTTGAGTGTGGATATCTAGTCATGGCAGCCTTTCTTTTTTGAATTCTTTCCATCATCAGTTCTCTAATATTTTCCAAGCAAGATATAATTGGTTTATCCCTGGCCTATAGTATATGTGAATTGAAAGATTCGCATAGATTATTGACAATCATGTCACATTTAGTGCGAGGAGAAAAGTAAGCCTTACACCAATGCATTGGATGAGGAGCCTTCTCCACCCACTTGTATGCTTCATTGTCATACTCTTTCAAGTCCTCAGCAGCTTTCTTGTACATCTCAATTGTGCTGCTCCTAGCTATCGCCCACAGCATCCCTTTAAGTGCCTTTCCAGGATGTTTCTTCTTGAAATTTTGATACATGTGCTGCACACAGTATCTATGCTCAGATTTGGGTAGCACCTCGGATAATGCTCTGTCCAATCCCTGCATAAAAAATAAATGAATTATTGGTTCAAACAGCCACAAGTCTCACATCAAATGTTGGATAATAAGATCCATACCTTTTGTTGATCAGAGACGAAAGTGTAGTGACACTGATTATCTATTTCCAGATCCGCTTGGAGAAGTTGTAAGAACCATTTCCACTGTATTGTAGCTTCCTTCTCCACTATGGCCCAAGCAATAGGCCACCAACCATTGTTGGGATCAACTGCCACTGCTGATAACAGTTGACCAGGGTAAGACCCTTTTATATGGCAGCCATCAAGTCCAATCACAGGTCTACACATTTTGAATCCTTCTTTTAGTGCACCTAAACAATAGTACAGTCTCATGAACCTAGGATTCGAACCTGGATCTCTAAATGGAGTGAACTCGACTACCATGGTAGAATTAGTATGAGTCTTCTTAATCTCCTCACAATATTCCCATATATGCTTATACTGCTCGACTGCACAACCTTTGATTCTGTCAACAGCTATACCTCTAGCATTTCTGGCTATTGTTTTCGATATTTGTATCTTGTACTCCTCATGCACTGTCTGCCTTAAAGAATGGACTGGAATGTTCATATTGGCCCTAATTCTGTTCTCATATCTCTCAGCAACCCATTTAGCAGTCATCATTTTATTTTTCCAGGCATGACTGCAGTTTTCATGTACATCATAAAGGGTCTTAATCACCAAATCATTCGGCCCAAGTGCTTTCTCTTGAGAAGCATAACACTCCCAATTACATGGATCCTTGCACCTTACCCTTACTCTCAGTTCCTCATTAGTGTAATACCAAACAGGTCTACCATTAGCAATCGAATAATTCTGCATTGCGGCCTTAAACTCAGCTGATGATGCAAATCGCATCCAACCTGGAAATGTGGATTTCTCATGTTCTTTTCAGCATTGAAGTCAACATATTTGATTCCCTTCTGCACTTCATCATCTTCATCAGAAGAAGCATCAATGCTATGCAGGTCATCCTCCATCATATTGTCATGCAACACATCTTCATCATCAGCTTCTTCCATTTCCTCAGCAGCTTCCTGTGATGATGTGTTATGGTCAGCCTGTGCTGATGATGTCTTCTCCCTTCTTGCTGACCACTTTCTTTTTCCTCTTGTTGTTTTTCTAGGATACTTTTTCTTTGCTCTCTTGCTGCCACCAGATGATCCATTAGTTGTCTGTGATTGTTTTTCAGCTTGGGCATCGCGTTGACCATCTCCATGTGTACCACTTTCCAAGCCATTTACATCCTGGCTCTCATGGAGTATAGATTCAGTAGTTCTCCTCATAACAGGAGGGGAAATTTCAACTGTGGGAGTTGGTTTCTCACTCCCAAGCATTTGATCATATTTGCAAAACTCTTCATCATCAGTGAAATGCTCCCTTTCTGAACTGCTGTCATTTTTATCATCTTCTTCACCTGCCCTTGCATTCACATCAGTTTTATCTCCTTGACTCCTACTCTTTACACCAATCCCACTAGTTTCTCCCTCAATGACAACACTTACTCTTACACCTTTTCCTCTACTTGTACCTCCTATTGCTGGTCCAGGGGCAGTCATATTTGTACTAACAAAAGAGCTATCAAAAAGACTTTTTCTAACTACCAATTGTTTATCAAGTTCTACAACTCCACTGCCATGTTCATCTACAACTACACTACCATGCTCATCAATTTCTTCAATTACAACCCCTATTTTTTTCTTACTACCTAACAGCGGGGAATGTGACTGGATGTCAAGAATTTCATGTAAAGGCCTATGGTCACAGTAAACATCTATCAGTTTGTGCTCGTACGCCCATTTGCACATTGCCACTATATCTGCATCTCCTTGTAACTCTCTTAATCCCTTATTCAAATCACTCCCAGGTTCTAAGTAATAGTAAAGCATTGCACCATTATATCCTAATTCCTCAACCATGTCATTTATCTCATGGACAGACATTCTCTCCGCATCACACGCATCAACATAATCTATTTCACCACCAACGTATGTTTTATACTGACGCCCACTAAATCTACCACCATGAAACATTCTAATACTGAATAGTTCAGAATTAGGCACTGCAATGAAATGGGAAAAAAAAAGGAATCACTTCATTTGAAAAAAAAAAGACTAAAAAAAACACTTGTTTATTTCAAAATTTCCCACTTTTACTTTCGGCAGTTGGATGAAAATCCTAACATTTAAACTCCATAATGCTGCTACATATTCACAACCCACAAATAAGCACATTCGATTTCAGACACAAACTTGAGTAATACACCCATTACATTTAGTTTAAAGTATAGTTTCAGTTCATTCACATGATTTTCCCCAAAAAATAACTTACCGTAAATTTCATATGGATCAATGTCGATGTCTCTTCTCCTGTTTTTCCACTCCATAGATTCACCACGATTTTCCCTTCTCTTCGATCTTCAAAACCCTTCTCTTCAATCTTCCTACAACGATTTTGAGAACTTCAGTTTGTTTAGTTGGCTTGTTTCTACCGCTCTTTTTTTTCTTTTCAGTTGATGTATTAATGTAAGTGAACGGTCAGTGGATTGACGGACAAAATTGCCCCTGTGGTTTGCCACGTGTAATGCTAATTTCAGAAATTAAGAGCTATTACCGACGAAATGGTCACGGGTGGCCTGATTAAGTTGTTTAGTGGCCAATTATTCACAAAAAATAGTTCGATGGCCAAAACATGATCTTGGGAAAAGTTTAATGGCCGCCCAAGTTTTTTGCCCTTTTAATAAAGTTGTCGACTGCCGGGCTGACAAGGCCCGGTAGCCAACAACTTCTGCACAAAGCTGGCTGCCGGGCTGAGAGTAGGGGTGCAAACGAGCCGAGCTCGAGTCGAGTTTTGACTAATCGAGCCGAGCTCGAGTTAATTTTGTGAAGCTCGAACTCGAGCTCGAGCTCGACGAGCTCAAAATATCAAGCTCGAGCTCGAGCTCGAGTCAAATTCGAGTCGAACTCGAGCACGAGCTTAAAAAATAAAAAAAAATAATTATTATTTTATTTTTAAAAAATAAAAAATAATTTTTTAAAAAAAAATGAATAAAACAATAATTTTTTAACAAATAATAAAATATTAGGGATATATATGTAATTTTACTATTAAAATAAAAAATAAAAAATAAAAAAATATATATAATTGAGCTCGCGAGCCAACGAGTTTAATATTTTTGAGCTCGATATTGACGAACTCGAGTCGAGCTCGTATTCGAGCCGCTCGCGATCGGCTCGATTCGCGAAACACCCCTAACTGAGAGTGCCCGGCAGCCAGTCCACTTTTTTTTTAAAAAAAGTCCCAACGTTGAATTTGAGGTTTCCGAAACCAAAGAATTTGGACAAAAAAAAAAGGCTGCTTGAATTTAGGCTTGCTTTAGCATCTCGTTTCATATTTGCAATAATTGAGGTGTATATATAAAAGAAAGGGTTGGGATATCAAATATGATTAAAGAAAAGGAACATGTGCAATTTTGGTCCCCCCGACGTTTGGTCTATGAGTTAAACTAATCCGTGATATTTTGACCAAAATAATTATGAGCGCAAATTTTTTATTTTAGCCAAATTTAGGACAACTAATTCAAAACTACAACATATAACGGTCAAATCAAATTACAATTAGTCAAAAGTTTGACTTCGTATTTTTTCGTCTCTTATGTTTCAAATAATTATATTTCAAATGAAATAAAATGTGAATTACATTGAATCCATAAAAAATGTGGTCTAATTCTCATTAAAATCCTTAAAAGTAATCCACATTGTCAAGACATATTAGCCTAAAGAGCATCTTTTTATTATATTAATTATCAACAAATGATAACACATACATCATATATAAAAGAAAATTTAGTGAAAAAAGAAAATTTTAATTTGAGTATATAGTAACTTTAGTTGTAAATAGTATTAGGATATGAGTTTCAATCGGTTATGATCAGGTATTATGATTATAATAACAAATAAAGGTGATTACCAATATAAAAAACTCACATGAATTTTTCAAAAATTCCTTGCCATTTCTTCTTGTCTGTCCTTCATATTAAATCAAATATTTCAATAATACAATTTAATGTATTTATATTTATGTTCATCTTAAATTGATAATTTTATTGAATAATTTAAATAATTATAAAATCTTTATTTCAATTGAAACTTAATAGACAACTAGTTGAAATGTCAAAAAAAAGAAAAAAAGAAAATATTATTCAATCGACTCAACGACATATAGTTACTTATATTATAATAGAATATTTTATTAACTTTTTTAATTTGTCAAATATAAGTATTGGACATTTGATGATTAACAAATTTTTAAGAGGACTTTTATTATGATTTTAAAATATATAACATTTTTGATCCATGAATAATCCGCTTTCTCCAGTGCCCGAATATACTTCTTTGTGCGTCTCCACATGATAGAGTTGGCTTCCTTGTATCTTCACATGGTAGAGTTGGTTTCCTTGCATTATGCGCAGAAAAGTGAAGGTTTGATTGGAATTTTGGGTGTCGGGCTGACCATAGATTCGTACCATGGGTTTGTCAGAGCCATGGATGTCCGATTAATCTTTTTTTCGTCCATATTCTAAGCAATTAGCCTAAATTAGGACACTTTTATCAATTCAAGACTTTTGATAATTGAGTTTACACGCCGTCAATGACAAGGGAGTGAGTGTTATTTGGCTAAACCATAGGGTTGGTTTGGCAATTTGGTCAAACTTTGAGGGAGATAAATGTAATTAAACCATTTATTTTATGCCCGTAGCGTAGCAGTTGAGTTGGGGATAACAAATTTTGTCTTTAATTAATGGGATAATTTCAGAAACCTCCCCTGAGGTTTCTGACAATTTCACTGACCTCCCCTGAGGTTTCCACAATTACACTAACCTCCCTTGAGGTTTCTGATTTTGTAACAAAATCAGCCCATGACCACAAAAGTAAACATAAAAAAGTGTTTTCAGGAAAGAGAGGAAATTTTGTTCCCATAAATGCCCTTAAGGTAGGTGTACAAGTTATATTAGTGAATTAATGAAAACTAATAAAAATCAGAAATAAATAAGAAAAAGTGAGGGGATGGGTATGGGAATCATAAAATTTTACTTATGGATATAAACAATTGGGTAACGCAACCGACCCAATTAACCCATCTACCACCACTCAGGTCATTTCACAAATACATTCATCAGACAAAGCTTTCCTCTTGTCACAAAAATTCAAAGCAATGTGGTACATGTTCACAAGCAAGCAGGTTAAAATCCCGCCTGCATAATAACGTTGAAACCCGCAAGCGGGATTCTGTGTTTTTTCTATTTCAAGGTTAGCTCGCATGCGGGTTAATGTTATATTTGAGCGCGAGAAGAAAAAATTGGTAATTAGGCTCTTTGGGCATTATAAGTAAATATTTAAATTAATGGCAGTTTTATTACACCAATATTATTGTATTATCATTATTATGATTATTGTATTATTTCTTATGCAAATATAACATTTAATTATTTAAATTTGATTTTATTTTTACAATTTATAAAATTTTTATCACTTATATAATATTTTTAAAACCCTAATACATCTAAATTTGATTTTATTTTTCAAATTTATAAGATTTTTATTTAAAAAAATGGGATACGGATAAGATATCCGGTTGGTTCGATTTGCATAGGTGCATATGAGAATATCCGAATACTCTTTAAACCCGCATGCGGGTTTAAGGAGATTATGGCAACTCTCTGACACACTAGTTACCCGTCCAACTTGTGTGTATTAAAATATATTTAAATATTATATTTCATATTTTTGTTATTTAGAGTTTAACAAAACATTAATATTGGGTAGATTTGAGGGATATGCATAATTTTGCATATTTGTAGGAATATTAGAAAATGGAAAATTTGGGTAAATTCCCAAATTTTGGAGGTAAGGTGTAATCCAAGAACTAAAACAGTCATTTATAAAACATTAACAGTAATAAGGTGCAAACCAAAACTGCAATCCAAGAGTAATATCATTACAAATTTCATAACCATACATTAAATAAATAGAAATGCAATCCAATACTATCCAAAAACACCATCTGCCTTATCATATTTTAGTCCTATAATAACACAAAATGTCTTGGGTATAATAGTAATTTTGCATTATATGATGTCAGCAATTGGGTCCCAAGTTCTGCCAGGGGAGGTCAGTGCAATTGTGGAAACCTCAGGGGAGGTCAGTGAAATTGTCAGAAACCTCAGGGGAGGTTTCTGAAATTATCCCTTAATTAATTAGTCCCTTCTCAAATGTTATCAAATATGGCAAGTATAAAAAATGTAAAGGCAAAACAACTTGGACATATAATAAATGGAGCGAGTCCGACACGGTAGCGTGCGGTACAACAGCAATCGCACCAAGTACCAAAAAGTTTGACAGAGTACTAGAAAAAGTTTAGCAGCAGAATAGGGGAAGACTGAAGAGGGAAGAGGCCTGTTCTCAGCTCAGGCGAACCGGTCAATTCCTCCGACTCCGACACCGCTACCCTTTGACTACTAATTCAACCCTATTTTTTGTCCGAAGACAACTTCTGTCTGAAACCTTAAACCCTTGTCTGGCTAACCCAAAACCCCACCCGAAGAAATTAGTCAAAACCAATAAATATGGAGGCAGAAGAAACGCCGCCCCAACATACACACACAGCAGAAGGTGGGGCAGCTGTCAAAGCTCTTGGCCCTCTCTTCAAGCTCACTGAAGTATACCTTTGGTCAGCATCCATCACCCCTTGTCTATTTCCCATAGAGCTTTTCAAGAATTTCTTCTTTTTTAAAAAAAAAAAAATTTATCTTTGTGCTCCAAGGATGAAGAAAGTATGGGTTTTTTAGCAAGAATTGCTGACCTGGACTTTGTTTTTATCCAGGGATGATGCCTCGCAGGAGAACCGAGGCGGGATTTCTTCCCAGCTAAATGTAAGTTTATATTCCAGAAACTTTTTTTCTTAGTCTTTTCATTGTTTTATTCAAAATTATACGTGTTAGACTTGGTTTTTTCTTTTTTACCACCCCCTTCCAATTTAAAAAATTATTTTTGGGAAAATTCTTCAGGAGTGTGTATCTTAAGAATGTTTGTTGTGGATTCATTCATGTAGCAAGCCACTGGCCGAGGCAATGCGGGCTCATCTTCAAACGATGGTGTGACGACAAATGGCAAGTTCTTTTTTTTTTTTTTCTCCTTTTAGTAGAATTTCCAGTATGATTGGGTTGTGTCTTGTGTATTTCTCTTTGTTAAAATTTCCTGGTTAGCTCTCTTGACATGGTGCATATTCTGCTGGCATTGAAGTGCTGAATTGCCTTCTTGATACATATTGAATTTAAAGAGCAATTTGTCTTTCTTATGCATCTAGAGTTGTTCCCTCTGCCTGAAGATTTGGAACTTGCCAGACAGATGAAGGACCTGGGACTACCGTTTTCATTTCACACAAACAAGGAGGTAGTTTTGCTTTAATCCCCTGTTTCATCTTCTCCTTTAAAAGTTTTCCATTCTGTGGTTAAATGCTTGACGGAACATCCTTCAGCTTTCTGGTTGTGGTTTATATATAAAGAAAGTTTACTAGTAAAACAGTGGTCCTGCATTTGGTTTCCATCACTATTTTCTCTTCATTACCAACAACCGAAGGGGTTCAAGTTGGACAAATTGCATTCTTTGCATTTCTTAAGCTTTAAGCATATATATATATGGGTTGCATGGTGGTGGTGTGTTTGGCAAGACTTCAGATATTATCAGTGTTGACTAGGTGCAGTGGAACTTATGTAATCTGGAAATCAGTCATATATAGCGTAGGAAATCTTGATGTTGTGAAGGTTTTTTTTATTTTTTTATCTAAGAATGATTTCATTTCTTGCATTTCTAATAAATTTGATATGTATTGTTCTAGTTTGGCTAATGTACAGTCTTATGCAGAAGAGGACTATAATTGGAGGGAAAAGGAAGGATCCAAAGAAGAAAAATCTTGACAATTGTAAAGCCACCAATCTGAAACTCTTAAACTCGTTCAAAGAGAGTGGAGGAGTGAATCCATCTCCTACTATTGATGATGATACCAAAAACATTTCCTTATGTTCCATCTCCATTCTAGACCAAAGTGAACTGTCATGCTCTGCTATTGCAGTGAACACCGATCGATTTAATCACATATCTGATGGAGAACGAGATTCAATGGCTTTTGCGACTTCTAGTACTTATGTTGTAAACCCATCTGCTTTGAGTGATGAAATATCTGATGTTGGGGCAGATAGTAGCCTCTCTTGTGAATATGGAATTACAAAACATTTAGCAAGAGAAGACAAGAAAGTGGAAGCCAGTCATGGGTTAGATGATGATGTGTGTTCAGGAAATTCTTTGGTAATTGGGAGTGAACCGGAATTAAGGCAACCAAATGATGAGCATGTAGAATCATCCTTGGTGCTTGATGATGCAGTTGGTGGTGAGACATTGACCGGTGATGCCAGTGCTCTGATAATGGATGATTCTGAAGTTGCTTCATATTCACCGTTCTCAGAGCTGGTTGACTCCAATACAGCTGACAGTAATTGCAAAGGTGCTTTTGGTGATTGGAGAACATATTGGGACGAGGATTTCATGAGATATTACTTTTATAATATCATCACAGAAGAGTCTACATGGGATCCACCTGATGGAGTGTCAAGTGATATAGCTGCTGATCCAACAAAACTAATTCGTAACACAGAAGTTCTTCTGGCTGACATTCCAAATTCTGGAGAATCTGATAAGCTGGGTATTTCTTATGGTCAGTCAGCTAATTATGCCCAGACAGGTGGTTTGGAAAATGATAGTGGATCATTGGATCAAGCACTTGATGAGTCTGGCGAAATTGGTATTTACGATGAAAGCCTCAATAGCAACATGACAAAGAAGAAAACGAAAATCAGGAGATTAAAATCAAGTGGGGAATCGCCCCTTGCGAGTGAAGGTAGGCGGTTGTCTAGTATCCACGTTTTTTTTTTTTTTTTCTTTTTTAACTCTTTGTTCATGCATGATTCGTGGTGTGTACATCTTTTACAAGGCATTTGGTAGTTCCTTAATTTTATTTTATTTCATTCTAGTATTCTTTTTCTTATTTCCTCATTTTGCCTGCAAAAAATTTTGTGGATTGGCTGAGGGGAGATCTAAGTACCATATGCACAGGAATTTGATTGGGTTTTTAACATGTTTTGAATATCATCTTCTGATGTTGGCTCTTCAAAGTTTGAAGCAAAGTTATTAGGACGTTTTGAAGTTGTGATTTGTTCAATTTCTATTGGCTTATGTTCATTTCCTGCAGCCAAATGGATACTTTTTTATTTTAATGCTATTGTATTCCTTGGTGAATTAATCTGCAAGCTAAATCTAATTGGATACACTCATGAATTTTGCAGAGCGCCAATTCCAAGGAGTTTCTGAAGAATTTGATCCTGTTATAGGTAAATATTGGTGTCAAAGATATCTGCTGTTTTCAAGATTTGGTGCTGGAATACAAATGGATGTAGAAGGATGGTTCTCTGTCACCCCAGAGGCAATAGCCAAACATCATGCATTTCGTTGTGGAGATGGGACCACAGTGGATTGTTTCACTGGAGTTGGTGGAAATGCAATCCAATTTGCACTAAGGTGAGTGGTATTTTTGCTGAAAATGTTTGAGTTCAATCTTCGACTTCTTAGTGAAGTCTTAGTAAGTATTGCATGATTTATTCAATCTTGATATTCAGAGAAGCTTAGTAATGTGACTGATCTAGGACTCATTAGGCGTAGCATAAACATTATTCTTGCATTGTCTGATTTTTAACTTCTCTTTTTTGAAGCCAGAACATTATTTGAATTTCTTTTCTGATCTATGCTAGGTGATTTGCTGTATACTAATGAAGTTGATGATTGAATACTTGTTGATATTTTTCTTTCGAGAAATCTCAGGTTCCTGGGTTAGCTATATATGTATTTCCTCTCTCTCTCTCTCTCTCTCTGTATGTGTGTGTGTGTGTTTTTTTGTCTAATGTGGAAAAGAATATCTACTGCCTTCATTTACGTTTATGTGGTGGAGATCTAGATGTTTCTTTTCACATATTTTCAATGATTGAGTTTCTTCATATCCATTCAGCGTTTTATACCCTCTATTTTCAGGAGTCAACATGTTATTGCAATTGATATCGATCCAAGAAAAATTGAGTATGCACAACATAATGCAGCAATATATGGTGTTGATGACCACATAGACTTCATAGTTGGGGACAGTATTCTTTTGGCACCCAAATTAAAGGTATTGAAAGTCTCTTATGGAGCAAGTAATGAGGTGACTCTGACTGTTCTTTGCTTGTTCAAGTACAGGAGCACTGATGTGTATGTTTCTACAGCATATGAATTAGCAAGTCAGTTTCTCCTACTGCATTGTTTTTTCAAAAGTTTTCCTTTCTTGCATTTTATTGTCTCAGACTGGTATACTATGTGCCTGAAAAGAGAAATTGGTCTCTTCTTTCTTTGGGTTCTCATTTTCTTGGTTCTCTAAATTGTAGTGAATTAAAATGTGAAATTGTTGAATGCAATGATTCATTCTCTTTTTCCTTTTTTGTTTCACATAAACTCCTCATTTGCTTAGCGGTGTAAATGAGGTATTTATTTTTAGCATGTTGTGGAGGATAAATTTCCAAAACTACTTTTGTGCAGGGAGACTCGGCCTTTCTGTCACCACCATGGGGCGGACCTGATTATGCCAAAGAAAAAACATTTGACATCCAGACAATGCTTCAGCCTTGCAATGGGTATTTCTCTACTTTGGCAAATGAACATGTAACTTCTTATGCACTTGTTATCTGTTTACTCTGTCAACAGTCACTAGATACTTTCTTTAATGTCCCTTTGCCAGGCATTCTCTCTTCAACCTAGCAAAAAAAGTAGCCCCAAGAATTGTCATGTTCCTTCCAAAAACTGTTGATATTGACCAATTGGCAGAGTTAGCTCTGTCTGCCAGTCCTCCATGGTCACTTGAGGTAACATTAGTTTTTCCTTATCTGTTCCATTCTGCTATATGGAGCTTTACTTCATTCTACAAGTTTCTCTATGAAGAAAGGACGCACCACATTCATCTGCCATAATAAAAGGTCGAATGATGCCATTTATAGGAATTTACTCATCTTCTCACTTGGACAGTGGGAAATTGTAAGCCTCGGTTTTTTTTCTGTTCAAGTGACGCTAAATACTGAACACTGCTTTTTATTTTATTTTATTTTTACCACATATTCCTGTTCTATCAGATAGGAGCATTCCTCTGTGCCTTCTTGGAATTTTTTTTTCTTTTTCTCTGTTCCTTTTTGTAACATCTTTCTATTTCTACCGTGTCTAGATTATAAATTAATCTGTTGGAATCTACAGTTCCTCATCTTTCAGGAGTGTTATTGGGGCGTGAATGTCTTTACCTTCTTACTGCCACCAGTTTTGACCTATTATAACCTTCTAGTTCTAGTCGTTCCTTTCTTAGTTTAGTATCTTAGGGATGAATTTCAGCTTCTTATATTTTAGTTCTACTACTTCAGACTCCATTTTAATTTCATTAATTTTCTGGTCTCAGGTGGAGAAGAATTTCTTGAATAACAAGCTTAAGGCAATTACTGCATACTTCACCGAACCCTCAGGATAGAAGCTGTAAATCAAATTTGGGATTGGCAACCTAGCAATACATTCTTGTCTTTCTAACTGTATGGCTGTATCTCCCATCTCCTTTTTCTCTCATTTACCCTTGCTTTTACAGGCCTATTGAAGGCGTATCTCTCTTCTCTATGTTTATATGGCATGCTGCTTTTTTTTTTTCGTGTTTGTTTTAGCCATACAAAAACAAGTGTACATTCTGGAGTTGGAAAAATTGTACATTCTGGAGTAAGAAAAATTAATGTATGTGCAGATGTTTTTTACTGGACCAGCAAAATTTCTTGCCAATTGTCATACAAGGAAAACCATTTCCATTTTTGGTAACGGTTCTGCTGTGAACGTGCATGCACGGATTTTTGTAACTTGCATGGACATGAACTGCGTAACTACTGCAAAATGCCGACCAAATTCACTATTCTACAAACAGGAAGTGCCCTTACTCAGGTCCATCTAACCATGCACTCCATTTCAGCTCCTTTATAGGAAACGTTTGGATGGATGTTGAGACTTGAGAATGCTGATTCAGAGAAACCTTCGAAAATGCTCAATTGCTTCAAAAGAGACAGTTACTGGCCATCTTTGCTTTTGTTATATCTTGCTTGAATAAGGGTTCTAAAAGATTGAATCACGCACACACGTTAATCACAATTCCAATGAATGTGGATAACTGTTTTATGTCTTCAAGTCAATTGGTGTTTAATCAATTAAGAACGTATGGGCTGCTCTATTGCCCTTGAAAGTTGGTCACCTCTATCTTCGTTGGACGTGAGATCACATGCATACTTCATAGCAGTTGTCACCACCTACCTGTTTTGTGGGGTTTTGGATATCTACATTATGAACCGAGGTGTTTTACAACCATCTTTGAACATGATTGACAATGTTGTAATGCGTAATAATATTAGCCCTAAACCCTGACAATTAAGTTATGGTGCAAATTGCTAGTAAACATGATTAGGACATGAGCGTGATTATATTCAAAATTCGTACACCTTTTCATGATCTTTGCTACCCTTTGTGGGTAGAAAAATGTTGAAAAGGTGATTAACGAACACTACTACGATCATGTTTAATGTCGAGGTGTTGCATGATTAGCGATCACAGGAGGCAAATGCTTTTTCTGGCTGGCTGCTTTTTAGCTCTTATACTACTATATCATATCATGGTGAAACCTAAAATGTTTCCCAGACATTTATTTCAAACAACAGAAGGGAGGGAAAGGAAAAGGAAAGTAGCGGTGGAAACTGCAAAATCAACTTTTTATGATGCACAGTTTCACAGGGCTTTGAGTTTTAAAGTTGAATTTATGGACTGAGCAATATTTAGGCTCAGTCGGACCACCTTTTTCTTAGAGCATCTTTATTGAACAAATTTTCAAACTTGGGGTCAATTTATGGGTACCAACTTGGACTAGAATTCGATCTAGAATCACTTTAAAGAAGAAAAAAGAACTTTGAAAGATAAAAAGAAAAAAGTTGACAATCACCTCAAGCTTAATTTCAGGCTCTCTGTTGAAGCATTTGAAAACATGCCTCGGGCATACTCATGATTATTCATATGGGAAAACCAATTTAGCGAGAGCCTTAGTAGACTAAGCATATTATTGTTTTTCAGATCGATCCCAAAATTGTTCTGCTGTCTCTTTCCTCGATCGTGCTTTAGGGCCCAGAAGTTTATCAAAGTAGTCTACACTCTACACTATTGATGATGGGATTTGCATGAAAAGAAAGGAAAAAAAGAAAAGCGCTATAAGCTAAAACCTAGATTTGAAAACTGTGTATCATTTGATTACTAGTAGTAGTATCTTTTTGAACTGCAAATTTGCTTCGTGGGTTAGCATTTAAGATGCACTTGAACGAAACCCAAGCTCATCAGATTGAAACTGCAATTGTACTCGTACGCATGCAAAAGTTGAGCTCAAAATTTGCATGTTCATAAATCCTATAAAGGTTCTACTGCCTAGCAATGGCAATGACTAGCATTTTCCCTTTTAATCTCCAGATTAAATGTAAAACACCTGATCTTTTATTAGAAGATTTTATCTTAACGTTGTACCAACAGAACAAAACATACTAGTAGTATAAGGCTTCAAGTACATGGTAGTGCATTGTTACTAACGGGTGTTGGTGCAAGCGGAAGGGGATTACATCCCTTTACCACGAGGTTTTGATTCGAAATTTATGAAAATGAAAAAGAGGGAGAGCTCCTCCCTACAAGAGATTCGACTGGATTTAAGCAGAATTAATCGCAAATTGTAAAAAAAAAATAGTGCATTGTTGGTCCGATCCGATTCGAACAGAAAATGGATGCGAGTATCTGTGAATTATATATATATATATATATATATATATATATATATATATATAAAAGAAAGTAGTGCATTGTTGGCCTCGAGTTACGGTGACAGCATTCGTGTAGACTGTAGAGCAATGCAGATGGGTAAATGAAGCAGGATCCCAATGCAAATGTTACTGCTCTATTATTAACCAGGACCCGGCCAACAAGGAGGTGAAAGACGGTGGGAAGAAAATCCGGTTTGACCGCCATGAATCCAGGCTGTCCAGGTATTCGATGGTCCAACATAAATGTGTCCAACAAGCTCGTGTCACGAGGGCCTAATTCATTTTCAACATCCGACTAGTCAATTGCTAATAAATGTGCTGGAAAATGGACAAATCCCACTTCTTCAACAAGGCTCAATCCATGTAAAATAAAACAACGATGCCGCCAACTCGACTGCAGGAGATTCTTGGCTACGAGTCTGTTGTTATTTAATTCCGCATTTATTGCTAATCACCGTCCAACACGGCAAGAAGTTGAATCCACTAAGAGGGGTAGAGTTCCAAGGTAAATACTGTACAGAAATGGCAACAGTACTTAAAAGGACAAGTAAAATAGCATCCCATGTTAGTTAATTCACTGGGATTGTAAAACTGCACGCTTATTTAATTATACTACCTCCGTCCCACTTTGATAGTCCTGTTTTTCTTTTTCGTCTGTCCCAAATTATAATTCATTTTCCAATTGAAGAATGTAGTTGTATTTTAATTTTTCTAAAATATCCTTATTCAATGTAAGTTGTTGTTACTATAAACCTACCCCATTTAACGAGAGTTGATTCTTTTTTTTACCATCAATTCAAATTCCCATAAAATTATACTCTAATTAATGTGAGGGTATTTTAGAAAAATAGTTACCTAAATTGATTGTTCCAACAAAGTTAACTACTTTTCCTTAAACTGTATGAAAAAAAAATCAGAACTATCAAAGTGGAACGAAGGAAGTACTAAGAATTCTTAGATAATTAATCGTATATATTATCACCGTTGAATTGACCGATTATACATTTACGTTGAATTATAATTGTGTATATAATATTAACTCAAATTCTTTCTTTTTCTGATTGAAGCAGTACGGTATTAGTATCAAGTCTCAGGATTCAACTCAGTTACTTCACTTTGTAAGTCTCACTCAGACCAAAAAAGATTGTGCCAGTGACAAATTCTATTGTGAGTTTGTATTCACCAACATTTTCCTAACTTAATAGCCCTAACATCTTTTCAGTTTAATTTCACCGTAGCTACCAAAAAGGGTGAAAAACAAAAGAGAAAGAGATAGAAGGCCTGCCATAGACCATTGTCCACACAACCACAGAGCTTCAAGATCCGCAATGCAAAGCTGGCAGTCCTAGTCTTAATTATGGTAGAAAAGAAAAAGAAGAAGCAAGAAAAAAAAATGACACAGCATGATGATGATTATGACAGCCATTATCCTCAAAACTCCAAAATTCGCTGTCCTCATTAGAGCCCTAAACTAAAATAAATATGTAGGTTTTTTGTTGATTATAGTACTCCCTAGTTATATTCTAGCACCATCCCCAAGGCCAAGACCCGGTGACTAAAAAACACCAATATTATATATTCTCTCCTGATTCCATCAATGAAATGTAGCTAAGCAAGCTTCCTTTTTGGCAGTTATGAACTAGCAGTAGTGCCAAGTGCTAACAGAAAAAACAAGCAAATGCAATTGACAATGCAGGAGCTGGGTACTTTCCAAGATCAAAGATCGGGCTTCGGAGCCAGAGATTTTAGCCCTGACTCCGTAATCTTCACTGCTGATTCCAACTTCAGCATCTTCTCTTCCAATTCTGCTAGTGTTGACCGCTGCTCTTTTGCCTCTGACGTCCCTGATCAAGACTCTTGCCTCTCCGACAACTCGCAATCACAAGTAAGGAGTACCATGAATCTGTACTTCAAAATGAAAAAGTTTGTAACTTGGCCAATGTTAATGCATGAATGAGAATACGTTTATGTTTCTTTTATCTATTTGTTTTCTGGGATTTGAACAAACATTAATGGGACTATGACGTTTTTTTTTTTTTTTTGGTTGTTTGAAGATATAATGGTTGGATTGTGGTATGATTGGAAGAGTTGAAATCTTTTTTCAAACAGCATTTGGCAGGGCATGAATTACGGGAAGGGTCAGGTTCAAGAGGTGGTCCATATGCAGATCCAGATCCACACAAATTCACCGTACACAACAAGAACAGTGTTCACCTTTGCGCCAGAAAACAAAAAGCGAAAGGTACTCTTTTGTTTTAAGTTTCTTAAACATCTTTGATTATCGTTTAGCTCAGCACTGTTCCTCAAAAACAATACCCTGAAAGTTTCAATTTTGATTGATTCTTGCTTTCAAACTCGGCATAATTAATTTTACCACATTTGTGTTCGCAATGCTGCTCAGTTCAAGAATTAGAAAGCAGTGAGGTTGAAACTGAGGATGACAACTCTATCATAGATTCAGCAAGGAACTCTTTTTCTCAAGCTCTTAAAGGTACTATTTGTAGTGCATTGCAATTGATATAAAAGCCTAATCCAAAGTTGAAATTTGATGGCGTCTTATTTGGGGGATTTGTGGAATTAGAATGTCAAGATAGGAGGTCTAGATTGGATGCTTCACGTAAGAAACCAGACAGGCGAAGACCTGCTTCTTTAGATCTGAATAATTCTGTGATTAGTACTGCTGTGAATTCTTCTTCACCGTCTTTTGGCGTAATGAAGAAACATTCTGCTGTGAATCGCCGAACGGGCACATTTCCTAGCCCAGGAACACCAAGTTATAGGCACACAAGTGTTGGGGTTCAAAAAGGATGGAGTTCAGAGCGCGTGCCATTGCCTAATAATATTAATAGGAGGCATGTAAGTACTGCATTGATGCCTTGTAATAACGGGAGGACACTGCCTTCCAAGTGGGAGGATGCAGAGAGGTGGATCTTCAGTCCAATATCAGTAGATGGTCCAGTGAGACAGTCAGTTCAGCAGACGCAGAGGCGGCCAAAATCAAAGAGCGGGCCTCTTGGACCTCCTGGGATTGCATACCATTCGATGTATTCTCCTGCTGCCCTTATGTTTGACGGAGGGAATGTTGGAAATCAAATGGCGAATTCACCATTTTCAGCTGGAGTGATGGTGGCTGAAGGATTGTCTTTGCCAGGCTATGGTGGAGGAAATTTACCGGCATCTATTATAGAGCCTTGCATGGCAAGGTCAGTAAGTGTACATGGATGCACTGAACTGATCAGCCAGTCATCTTTGCCTGTTTACCAAGGTACTTGCTTCCTATCCGTTCATTTGGGTTGACTGATTGAAAAGGGATAATTCTCAAAGTATTCATCAAATTTCCCATGAACATTTTATGTTGTATCATTGATGAGCACATTTAATGACTTTTTTTCCAATCAATATTCTGTTATTAAACTTCAGCTAATGATGAGCACTCATTTAGACTTAGTTGCAAGGCAAAACGTCTCTCATCTCTAAGCTTGTCTTCTTCTTCTTCTGGTTTTGGGGTTGGGGAAAGTTATTGTTGGAGGCTATAACTTCTAGGTACATCTCATTGTAGTACTTCATTTCAATTCAGCCACGGTAATAGAATGGGATTCCTGATTATTTTGATAAATTGGCATTTTTTAATTAATTTTTGTGTTTATGACACTTCAGAGCTCTGAAAAATGAAAATATAAGAAAATGAAGGCTTAATTGTCTAATTCTTGTTTCTGATGCGGCTTATTCTTGAAGCTTTACGAACAGATGAGAAACTTGATGACATTGAACAATCAGCCACCAATGTGTCCCGGACGGTTTCTAGGAGGGATATGGCAACACAAATGAGCCCTGAGAGTAGTCACCACTCATCTCCCAGACATGAGTCATCATTTTCTCCATCCAGTCCCATGCTACCCATTGTTGAGTTGCACAGCATGCATTCGTCTAAACCTGAAGTTAGGGATGTGCAAGTTGATGAACGGGTCACAGTGACTAAATGGTCCAAGAAAAACAGAGCAATAGTTCCTGGGAGGGGCTCAGGAAATGCTCGTGAATGGAAAAGGAAATCTGTAGATATGCGTGCTGCAGGTTGGGATATTTCAGACACAGAAAAGACAATCTCAAAGTGAGTTACTCTGCTAGGATAATGGGGTACTGTCATTTCCATAAAATAAGTACATGTAGTTGTGCCCTCAAGTGAGTAGAGTGACCAAATATATGAAAAGCTTCCATGAACTAGAAAATTGAGCATTTTTCATAAGTTGGATATACTCATGATGAATGATCAACTAATATCCCAGAAAGCAGAAAAGAATGACAAGGAGAGGTCTATTGCATTCTTTGATTTTAGATCCTTAAATGCATATCCTAAAAGTGCTGATTTGGGTAATGCATGGAACTTGCTATAGGAGTCAGTTCAAGCCTATACGACCCTGTCCTACATGTCTGAGAGTGTCCTGTCTTTCTTGCTTTAAGAAGGAATAGAACTCTATGTTTCTATCAATTTGGGATTGTCACAAACTTGGGCTGCATTTATGCAATCTTGTTTCTGTTTCCGAGTATATTGATGATTCTAAAAAGTGGGAAATAATTCAATAGATATATTGGCATGGTTGTTCTGTCCACCTAAATCTTGATTCCAGGAAGCTAGTGATGCTTCACATTTTTATCTGTCAGTGTACTTGTTAACTTAATAGACTTACTCTAGCCATGTGATGATTCCATTAAGCTAGTGCCTTTGCTAGCTGCGTTTTCTTTGCTGAATCTTCATCCAGTTGTATTAAAACAGTATATGCACCACATCAATTGTTGGTTTTAATAGTAAAGATAATATGCCTTGCAGGATAAAAAGGGAGGAAGCAAAAATAATTGCTTGGGAGAACTTGCAGAGAGCCAAAGCTGAGGCAGCAATACGGAAACTTGAGGTTTTCTCTTGTAACATACCGTTTGAAGTTTTAAGACATAGAGTGCTTTAAGTCATTCCTCAACATCACAGACTCACAGCATGCATTTCATGTTTTGCCCTGTAATCAACTCAATGATTACTTGTGCACCCATATTTTTTGACCGTCTGAATGGAAATGAACAACCAATAGGATTTTGCGAAAATTAATCTAATATGCTGCCAGATATTTATTCTCTGAATGCTTGATTGAGATGATCTTATGACTTGTTCAGATGAAACTGGAAAAGAAGAGATCTTCATCGATGGACAAGATAATGAACAAGCTCAGATCAGCACAAAAGAAGGCCCAAGTTATGAGAAGCTCAGTCTTACCAAACCAGTCACATCAAGTTGCAAGAACCTCCCATAAGGCCATATCTTTTCCTCGAACTCGCCATATAGGTTCCTTCAGTGGCTGCTTTACCTGTCATGCATTTTAGTTAGTTGCACAGCTGTTTCTTTGCTGAACGATAAAGAGTCTCACCCCAGAGGTAAATGCTTAGGTTCATCGCATGTTGAATTTTATTATGATTTGGATATTGAGATGTAGTAGGATAACATTGTTAAAATCACATTACTTGCCATATTTGTTGCTATAACATACAAATGTTTAGTATCAAGTAGTTCAATCTGTTAATTAACAAGTTCAATTGTTGGTATTTGAAATTTGAGAATTCTTCAATAAAATTTCAGAGTATTTCCACACTTGAGGGTCCTTCAAGAGCCTTGAGAATCTAGGCTTTCATGATTATTTTATGAGTGACAATTGTTATCTCCTATATTCTTTTGGTTCCATGTACTGAATAGATGTTTTTCATATCTTTTGTCTGAAGAGGAACTGAAAGAATGAGAAACAGACTGTACAAAACATTTCAGGTATAAACTCAGATGCACTAGCTCGCATCGGACATTGCATTTTCGGAAAGGGTTTTTGCTCGTTTCTGGAATCAAACTGCGAAATATTGAAAGCTGTTTTGCTCATGGATTAATAGGTAATTCCTAATTGCCCACACCTGTGATATCCCCCCCTTTATTAAATGAAGAAGGCACCAAAGAAGAGAAGCAAGAGAGAAGTTCAACGCGTATGAAAATAAAGGGTTTCTTGTTCTGTAACCACAGGTTTCATTTGCTGATGGAATTTGTGAATTTAAGCTGAGTAGCTGAAAGAGCAATATAGTCGTTTGTGTAATATTATCTTGTAACATTACATTCTTCAATCCTTGTTTGAATTTCCGTGCTAGTGGGCCTAATTGTATGTAGGTTAAATCATGATAAAGTGGTCTTTGTCAAAACAAGTTTTCTATAGAAAGGTAGAAATACGAAAACGTGTGCTTGATGACAAGAGCAGCAGCTTGCTTGGCTGCCTTAGACATTCGTCTAAAATAAACGGGGAAAAAAAAATCTAATGATCCTCAAAATAACCATTATGACTACTTTATTGCAAAGTTAAGGAAGCCAAAAGCGAATCCTATTTTGATCACTATGGCTTTGTCATAAAAGTGGCAATCTTTGGTTTTTGGTGTATGATGCTTCTATATCATTTTGCGTATGTATTGTACAAACCAAAATTTTAAGGTTCAATACGTATAGGGATACAGAATTGAAGGGATAAAGCAAACACTCGAAATGTATGTTAGAGAAAAGAAAATAATTAATTTACAATATTATTGAAATCTTAAATAACAAAGAAAGTTACATTACAATTAAAAACTTGAGAAACTTTTCTAGAATTTCTCTAGAAAACATCCTAAATAATGTCTTATTTGTACTCTACCAAACTTGTAAGGAAAGAAATCACTTGCATAAGAAACCATCAAATAAAACACAAATTCTTAAATTACAATACATATATCATTCTTGTTTGCCAATAAAAGTAATAAATAAATACTTCTAAACTTGGTTTAGTTTGCCAATACATACATCATTCTTGTTTCAAGCCTTTCAACGGAGGATGCCAGAAGGGTAAGGTCCCCAGTCTGGCGACGTTATCATAGTCCTGAGGACCATGATCTGGTAATCCAGGAATGACCAATCCAACCATCCTAGACACAATCTCAAAGAACCCTTCTCTATACTCCATTCCCCTCGTGAAAGGGATAATGAAGCTCCTAATCAGCTCGTAAACGGCACTCAAATGCTTGGGTATAACCGACAGCAGTGAAAAGTAGTTCTGGTTTGGTTCTTCCTCTAGAATCTGTTTCGGTTTTAGTTCCAAAATAAGAGAAAAGGAATTTATAAGAACACTCCCATAAAATAATACAAGGGAAAAAAAAAACTAGAGAATAGATAAAGAAAGAAATAAAAAGTTTTTTTACCTGCCCTCGGTAGCGGCTGTTGAAGTATAAACAAAGGCCAAAGTGCTTGAACATGAGGGTTTTGTCATCAAACGGTACTCTTGGAACTATATCATTGTTGTAGACATATCTGCAATATTTTACGTCATACAATCTAAGCTTGCCCTTCACAAACTCCCCAAATTGCTCATCTCCAACTCTAGGCTGCCCAAAAGTGTACACTCCTTCCATTCTTTCCAACAGCTCATTTTCTTCATGTAAAATCAGTATGGCAGGAAACAAAATTGCCAATGCCCCTCCTAAGCTGTGTCCAGTTACCACGAATTTTGCATTCTGATTTTCCCTCAATCTATTTCTCAAAATTTCCCTTATTGTGTAATAGGCATAGTCTTTTCCACCTGAGCCTTGCTCAATTTTCTTAGGCCAACCCTTTCGTTTTTGTAAGCCTAAGGCTTTCATAAATCCAGCATGAATCTTGCCCACACCTTCGATATCATACCACGAAATATCCAAATCCGTACGCCAATCATCAGCTTCAAACGGTTGTGTCCCTCGAAAGGCCACCTCAGTCAGGTTAGAATCAGCACTGGTTCTCTTGTCTTCGAAAATGATGGCTTGTGTTGTGTATGATTCCTCATAATCTGAATGGTATTGGGTAGACAAGTTGTAAATTGTAAATTAAACTTCAGAATTGCATTCCTTTGCTAAAAGAGTTATTCGTTTAATGTTTCAGATGTAACCTTCTAATCATCTCCGTAGTTTTTTCCTCTTTATTTCTTTTAATTTTCCATTATTTGTTGTAAACGGATAGCTATCTCCCATACAAATGTCCTTTTCGGTTGAATTTTAAGCAAAGATAAATCATGAGATAGTTACGTGCCAATTAATGATCCGTGACCGCAGTTGTGGCGAAGGCTTCATTTTCATAGGCCAATTATAATTTATAGGCAAGACGTGCCCTCCAATGGACGTGATGCGAATTAGCTATAGCTTTCACTAACAGTTGAAAAAATTAAATCATAATGAAGTGATGGTCACCATCATTTTTTTTCATTCGAGTTGGTGGTGACAACTGACAACGTTGTGAGGTTAGGATTGAGATTTGAGAAGACATATAGGTTTAGGGTAACTATTAGATAAAATTTCTTAGACTTTTTTTTATTGTTAAGTTCAAAATTCAAATTCTAAATTTATTTGGAGATGGAAAGAGTGCGTGTAAAGAGAAAGGAGGATTAAAAAAAAAAAAAGATGACTCCACGTATTTTGCAAAATTTGAGAAGACAAATTTTACTTTTAGTGAGTAAGATTTCTATATATCCATCCGAAATGAATCGGGCAATTGTAGTTTACTTGACAACTTGTAAATCAGAACTTCTAATTTCTAAACAAAGACTAGGAGGTATTTTCCGGTTTGCTGCGATTAGGCAAAAACCAGGAAACTTGTTGATGTGCATTTGGACTTGTCAAAGTAGTGCCATCATTCATGTTTGGAACTTAATTATACGCATTATCACCACTACACTAAGAGTCAAAAATGGCCAGCAACAATGAGTGGCAAGAAATGGTTGTCTTTTGACACGAAAAAGAAAAGAGTAAAATTTCACATAAAGAGGAGAACGGAGCCACTGACCATTCCAAAAGTTGAAGGAGCCCAAGAATTCCATCTGCAAGAGTAGAATTGGAAAAAAGAAAAAAACGACTTGAAACTTGTTCCAAGCAATATAACACGAAACTTGCATTGCATGTCCTGAAATTATAATTAAATTACCTGCCAGTGATCTGTGACCACAGTTCTGGAGAAGGCTTCATTTTCATAGGCCAATTTAGCGGCCATTATAGACAAGGCTGCACCATACCTCTCGTCATTAGCTTTGATCCTTCCGTCTAAATCCACTCGCGTGTCCAGATTCGCAACTATCGACCTGAAAGTTGCAGCCGACCTGTCTGGCGTTACTACCTTTCCTGCAATTAAAGCATACACAAGGCCATACTGTTACCATATTATTTGGCTCGTTGTTCTCCATGAAACATGTACAAGATTTCAATGGCTGTTATTATCATTTTTTCTCTCTATATCAAATAGAATATGATTTGACACCAAAAATTAATGCCTAATCCAGTTTCCCTGTGTTGCATAATAATATGCTTTTGCATGCATGCATGCAGCAATCAATTTACGCATAATAATATGAATTATTGGAACATCCGACATAAATAAAACAGAAATTAAAACAAACCCGTAAGGAAATTCCGTAAAAGGCCGCCCAAGCCACCATTGCTGGATGGATAATTCTGCAACAGCTCCAGAGTAGATCCTAGGTCTGCCAAAGGTTTTTTCAACTGGAGGAGGAGCATCTGAGCCATGACAGACACAAAAACTACCCATCGGCGACGGAGGCCCCTTAGGCTGTCTGCCTCCGGGGCATCAAAGAAGTCTCTTTTTTGTAATTCGCGTGAATAGAAGATGCGAAGGAGGTCGCTAAAACCAGCTTCTTTCGGATTGAGCAGCAAATAATCTTTACAGAAATCTTCTTCGGAAGGCAAACCTAGGTTAGAATCAATGGTGCTCATTGGGTAGAAAGATGTGTTGTTACGTCAAAGTCTCAAAGGGTCAACTGATCTGCAGTTCAAAGTATAGCTATGTGATAAAATTTCTATTGCTGGGTAGATGCTTAAACAATGTGGTATTTTCTTGAATGAGAGCGATTGCCCTCTACATATACATGTATTTATAACCGAGTAAGATCATTAGCAGTTTGAATTTGTCAAAAGGGATAATTTCAGAAACCTCCCTTGAGGTTTCTAACAATTTTACTCAGCTCCCCCCAATTTTAGAAAATTACATTGACCTCCCTTGCTTTTACTATTTAAGTAACATTATAGACCCATTAGGCTAGAATTATACTTAAATATCCTAAAATACCCTTATGCAATATCATAATATCAAAAGAAAGTGAAAAAAAAGGTTTAGTGATCAATTTAACCAAAAAAAAAAGTAACAAACACTTTTATCCAAATTTGCTATGCTTCCATGATAATTGTAAACCTAAAACCTCATCAACCGTTCAAGCAAACTCTAATTTAATTCCCAAATTCTATCAATTTTGGTATCACTAAAATCCCAAATGTTACCAAAATAGCACTGCAACTTAATCCCCAAAATCTATCAATTTTGGCATCATCAAAATCCCAAACTCTACTCGAATCATTTTACAAATAGACCATAACCACCACCACCAACTAAAATACCCTCAAAAGCTTCCCCCCCAAATTAACACTATATTTTGTCTATTAACTAATCTCACACCTCAAATTATGAACCCAACACCTATCGCATATCACCTTCCTTGAACAGAAGATCTGGCCAACCGCTATTGATGTCTATGCCAAGAGCAACCCCGTACTCCAATGGCATCAGGAACAGAGAAACTAATCTTTATGACAAACCACCACCAATACTTGTAAATCAAACAAAAATGAAACTAAATGAAGATATTAGATTCTAGTACGTAATAGACATAATAGCATAACCCAAAGTCATCCATTTTTCTCTTCCAACCATAGCCCATTAATTTTATTTTTTTCCTCCCTATCACAACCATCTTTATCATCTCCATCTAATTTGACCATGAAATTTCATTTGCTCTATCAATTTGTAATTTTGGAAATTTTGATTCTTTAATATATGCAAATTATAATATGAGAAGAAATAAACGAGGGGGCTGATAGTTAAGTACTACGGAAAGAGAGAAATAGACAAGAAATAAACACTTCGAGTAGGTTTGCATGGTGGTGTAGTTGATGGGTGGAAGAGACTGTGGGATTATAGATAAAAAGGAGAGAATCATAAGAGAGAAAAAAAAATGGAGGGAAAGAGAAAAGAAACTGCTATTAATTAAAGTAAGATTGGGGATGATAACGAATTGTTGTAGGTTTTTATTTTTTCTTTTACTTTTGGTTTGGTTTTTATATTCCACATATGTGGTAAATTATCTATTAAGTAGAGGGTATTGTAGTCATTTTATTGAACCGAGGGAGGTTAGTATAATT